TTAAAGTGCTTTGTGTATAGAATCCAAACTTCTGATTAAAAAACCCCTCATGATTCTGAATAGTGGTTTCATAGCCGTGGTACGTGCAAAGCAAGTCGTTGTAGGGCTGGTTTGGTTTAGGGTGTGTGATGTTTTACGTAGAGAACTGGAGAAGGGAAATGCAAGTGAAACTCGATGTGGGAAGCCCATGAAAAGTCGCATTTCCTAGTTTGGCAGGGCTGCAGCCTGTGTCAGGAAAGGGACCAAGGACGTAGGAAGAGCTGTACACCGCATGTTTTACCTGGCTTGATGTATTGGAACGTTGTTTTGCCTCAGTGGGATCAATATAGCAGAAATGTGAAATAGCATTGTATTGAGGAAGGTAAACACAAGCCCTTTTTTTGTTTCTCTAGTATTTAAACCCCGCAGTCCTTCCGCCTGGGTCTGGGCTTCCTGTTTCGAACCCCGATGGCTCCCAATCGGGCGAGGTAAGGCCTAATTCCGAGTAGATAGCAAATGACCTTTGGAGCGTATTTAAACCGTGAATTTGTAGTGGACTTAAACATGGGCCATCTAAAACAAGAAGTAACTGATTCAGTTGCTGGTGACTAGCCGAGACGGAATCGTATGACTGCCTCCAGAATTGTCCAGAAAAGACCTCTGAGCCCGTACGAGAAGTTCAGCCTCTGTGTTCTACCTTCTGTGATGTGATATCATTGTTCTATACAAATAAGACTTTTACAAGCCTTTTTCAGAGTAAAATGTCAATAGCAGTTTGATGATCTCTTCTTGCCTCCGTGCATGCATATAATTTCACTAATATTAAGTGCAAGAAACAATGAGGAGGATAGGTTGCTGTGTGCCAGGCAGAGTAACATTACCTTTGTTTCTACTAAATGTTTTCTATTTCTACATAATTTTGTGCTTAAATAAGTCCTTTTGATTTAAACTAACTTCTGGCTTTACTTTTTTTTTTTTTAACTTGAAGTTGGTTTAACCTTTGGCAGTGAGACTTTTAAAATGAAATAAAACAACTGAAAGCTTGGGGCAGTGACATGCATGACGACTTTTTTTATTTGTGTTTTTTTTTGTATTTGTGTGTTCTTGCTGTTTTGTAGCTTTCGCGCTCTAGTTCAATGAGTTCATTATCACGTGAAGTAAGCCAGCATTTTAATCAGGTACATGTGGCTGGCCATTCTCATTTATGTTAACTTAATTACTTTCCCCCTCCCTTCATTTTGCATTTGCTCAAATACTTACTAATGCTACTTTTAGTCATTTTCCTCTCCTCTCATTTCACAGAAGTTACATTAAAAGTGACTAATGATGTAGTGTTCCTTTTAATGCTCAAACAGGGTCTTCAGCGTTTTTGTATTTATGACAATGCATGTAATCCAGGCATGCTTTTCCGTTTATGTTCATGTTCCTGAGAGATCCACTTAGTAATTTTAATCAGCTCTTTCCTGGGATGCCAAAGATGTCAGTTGAATTTAATCAAAGAAACAAACCAAAAAAACCAAAGGAAAAAAACTGCCTCAAAAGACTCACACAAGTAAAACCTTGTAATTCCGCTGCTGCCAGTTTCAAATTGGTAAATGATACCGTTGTCTGTTTGATCTGCAAAAGCCCCTGTAGAAATTAAAGGAATGCTTCATCTCTGCTGTCAGTTCCAGTGCTGTGGGGTCACCGTAAAGGGGTGACACAAACTCTTTCTGATAGTTCTTAGTAAAGCAACACTTGACGTAGAATGTTGATTTGGGGGCAAGTCCTAAGGTCCACTAACAAAAGCAGAAGGTACTAATTCAGTGAGGCCGCACCGGTGTCTTGTTTTGGTTTTGCATGCTTTGGATTTTCAGAGCTATTTGCAGTTTCTGCATGTGACGTTGTTTTGCCAGTTCCTACACTAAGCAAGTAACGTTAAAGATATGGATGCGAACTGTACCGGCACTTTTTGCAGTTGTTACAATATGCTGCGCTGTCCGTATTGTTGGCATTATTACTGTGACTATTCGCTCTGTATGACTTAAGCAAACCACGTTTGAGAGGCAGTGAAGCTCTGCAGTTGTGTAATTTCAGTATTACCTGCTTTCTAGGCGGCCGGTGTACCGCCTGCGGGGGGAAAAGTTCTACAATCCTGCTCAGTTTGCACAAGTGAGTAAAGGCCTCGTCTTTACTTTGAACTAAACTATTGGAAAAAACCATGAATTTATGTTTGGCTGGCTTAATCTGGAGTGTTCCATATAGAGTGTTAACGTGTGTCTGTGTGTAGAGCGATCTGGCACCCGATTAAGTGAACAGATTTGTGTTTACCAACTTTATGTATTTTGTCTCTGCTGTGACACTTTAACAGAACATTTTTTTTATTCTTGATTTTCAGTCTCCCGCAGTCACTGGAAGTTCAAGACTGGGAGGAAGAATTGGACAGAGGAAATATCCGGCATTGAAGTAGAACGCGATGGCTTTGCATTTGGAATTCCCTCCCTTGTGTTCTGAGTATGCACAGAACTACTCAATCCTACGGGACACGATATCAGTACTAGCTGCAGTTGGCAGGACAGAAATTTAATGATGGGTGATTTTTCTTCATGGGTCTCCCCACTTGCACCTCATCTACACAAATCATTACCAAACATGAAATATAAGTAACTTTTTCTTTTAAGAAAAAAAAAAAAAAGGCTAGAAATAGCTTTGCTGTGATGAAGAGTAGACACGGGAGGAAATGGTTGCTGTCTGTTACAAAAACTATTTGTAAATTGCGTAGGCAATTTATTCCTTAAGTTTATTTTAAACCTCCTAGCGTGACCTTGGAAGACATAGTTTCAGGGATTCTTTAATTTCTGAAGGATGCCCTCCTCCCAGCGGGGGAAAAACACGTCCACGTTGTACCATAACACTCTGTGGCCTTAAGAGGACCATGCACAGTCGTACCGCGTACGGAACAGGGCTCGGTTTGTCGGTGTGTGAAATCGGAGACGTTCCTGTGGGAAGATGCCTCGTGCTGGTTTGTTTTCGGAGAGGGGGCGGGGAGGGGGCCACAGCTCATCCAAATAAATTGACCTATACTGAATGAAAACTGTGACTGTAATCTAATACTAATTTGATTCGGATCTTGCCTAGTATGTATGTAGTTTGTGGTTTAGACTACTTGTAAAGCAAATTGTATAGTCTGGAAGAAGCTCTGTATAATAGCTGGCGCTGTACTATTTGACGAGTGAGTGTTCTTTTAAGTGCAATACGGTTACTTGCTTTCTCTCCAGCTGCTGGCACTGTACGATTAGGGCGGTAACAGCTGGAAAGTTGTCCGAGGTTCGTTTGTTGGGTTTTTTTCCTGTGGAGTGCCACTATCAGCATAATGCTCTGTTCTTGAATTTCCATTACTTAAATAATCAAGGTCTTAAATAGCTAACAGCTGAATTTCAAACATACTAAAAGTAGACGGATTAGACCTCTACCGATGGACTTTAAAATCTTTAGGTTTAATATAGGAAATCTTGAGAACCATGATATGCAACTTTCATATTCACTGAAGGATCTGAATTATCTGCAAAGACAGAAATAAACTTCAAATATTTATTAAATCATTAGGCCATATTTTATTTAGACCTTGCCACCAAATTATTTGATTTTACTTGAATTTCTGCCCATGAGTAGAAATAATGTGAATGTGAAATTGCCGGTGTTGGTCCCTGATTTTTTTTTTTTAATTATGTTATTTTCTTTTCCTGAGTAACGCCACCTTTTTGAGATCTTGATAGCCTTACGTACGTCCTAAAAGGTTTGTATGTAGCCGAAGCAAAATGCTGTTTGGGGGGATTAGAAACCTTTGCGTAATGGTCCATACTCAATTCCAGGCGTCAGCAGCAGTCGTTACTTTTCTGTAACTGAAACCCAGTCAGACCCTTGGCTTCCCTCTAGTTCAGCCAGGCTGCTGATTCTGTTCTCCTTTCAGTAGAGACTGCCAAACAACTGAATTCACGAAGGCTTCCTTGGAGCTGGGAGCGGCTATCTTTCCTAAGTGTAAGATTTGACACTGTAAATTCTTTAAATAAAATATTTTGCGCTCTGGAGCACTTTCACATTTTTACTTCTTCTTGTGGTTTATTCCTTTATAGCGAGCTGGGTCAGGGAATCTCTGCCGTACCTTAGGAAATAACCATTTTTCTCTGCTAGGGCTGGCGGCTGCCAGTGCAGTTCAGCAGTGAAGCTGTAAATTTAACATAACCAACTTTTTTTTAAAGTGCGCAATGCTTTAACCTGATTGTTTAAATATCGCCTTAAGCTGGAACTGTCACTGTTGTACACGATTGATATATTTATATCTTAGGCTTAGGCTTGGGGAAGGGTGGCTGGAAGGCTGTCTGGTGGAAAAGGACCTGGACGTTCTAACTGACAGCCGGCTGAACGTGAGCCAGCAGTGTGCATCCTAGTTTGCAGTAGAAATTTTGTGACCAGCAGAAGGGAGGCG